ACGAGCCGTTGAAACGAACGATAGAATACAGCAAGTACCGTAAATCTGGTGAACAGAAGCGAGTTTAAATTCGAACGGTATAATTGTTAAATATCATCGGTATTCCTGACGTTGGATTATCCAGAAAAGGATACGCACTGTCTGAAATTGCCAATTAAATTTAGCTAATTAGCAATTTGGGAGTAAGACTGTTCCTCTAACTCGTACGTAATCCTTCGTTCCTGGCAGATCCGTGCCGCCATCGCGATGCGAGCTAAACCTTGAAATACGTAGGCCGAGATGTCTTGATTATCGAGGGAATTACAATTAAACTCGTGGTATTGGTATAATTGGGCTCGTTCTTCCTTGACCAACATTAAGATTTATCCGTGCACGGAGTAATATTTGCTTCGACAATACGTGAATCGGTGTATATACATCGCGAGAATAGGAAATGCTCGGTTTAGCTTACCGTGTATCGCGAAGCCCGCAGTTTATACTCCAAATAATCGTAACTCGCGCCGTGCTTTCGTGTAGCAAGTTCCTAAACAGGAAACCTGCTCGTTTTTATCGGATCGACAGTATTTAGTGGTAGAAACGTACGGCACAGTTGCCCTTTGACCAGAGAATAGCGCGTAAATCAGGCCGAGAAAATGAACCGAACTAACGTAATTTCGTGCTAAGATCTACGGTGGGATAAACTAATAAAGCACCGACGATAACGCGGTATTAATCATGCGAACACGAAAGGAAAAGCCCCTCTCTAATCTTTACTTCTACGCGGACCAGAATCGTTTTTATCCATTCTCTTTCGTTGACGCTTAGATACATATATTATGGCTAATGGATAACAGCGTCTCTATGCGAGTGTTCCTGATTAACATTATTTACAACGCGCGAGTCCGCCTTCCCGAAACACGCTTTTCGTCCAAGCGAAACAATTTCCCATGACGATAATTTTCTGGGCCAACGGTATCGATTTTTACAGCGTCGCTATTAAAGGGTCGCCATCTTTTCGGTAATAAGAGCATTCGCGAAACGATGCTGGTCATCGCGAGCTTCAACGACGCTAGAATTTTTCAACCATACGCAACGTTCGAGAATAATCAGGAATAATCGCTGCTCATAATTAATATTCGAGTGAAAATTCGGCCACGACGAATTACCTGTTTCGACGAAATATTACCCCAAATTAAGGGGAGAACGTAAATAAGTTCTTCCCTTTATATCACCCGCAATCAACGTGGACTTTTTACGCGAGCCAATGAAACGTAATTTTGTGGGAAACTTTGTACCGCGGAGAGTACAGTTTCCGGCTGTTTTTACGCCCCGAGTTCCTCGAGGATTTGTAAAGTAACGTCGCGGTGATTTTCCCAGCGAGCGCTCGTAAGGAAGGACGACGATATTTTTTCTCGTCCGGCCACATCGAGTTTTTTTTAACGACACGCCGATTAAAGCGGGGGTTAACTTTTCCAAGGAAAACGTAGGTGTCTCGGGAAAGCTTCGAACGAGGCCAGCGTGGCGTACGCGTTCCACCGCGGGGACGGATAATAGGAGGCATTGTTTCGCGTAATAAGAAAGCTCCAGGGCACCCGTGGTCCTAAACGTCCACGGTGCACGCGTGCAACTCGACCCTCGCGTTTTACATTCGAGAGGACGATTAAGTCATTCACCAGAGCGTTTTTCAGCCGCGATTCACTCCACCGATGGAATTGCGCCAGCCGTTATTACGCCGTAATTCCATCCGTTACGGAAATCGCGTCGATTCGATATTTTCTTGTTAGCGGGCGCGTGCACTTCCGGCAGATCGAATTTTCATGGCTGGAATGCGTTAACGATCAACAGATTTTTATATCCGCGGTGAATCTATTTTATTTTCTATTTGCTCTTGCAACTGTCGCAGATAAATCTTAGAAGGTATAGTATAGTTTAGAAGGTATTTTAATTGCAATATTTTTAGGAACCAAACGACTTGGATCGTGTGTACCGTTCGGATTACCGTGCAGAAATGGTTTAATCTGACTCTTGATAAGAGGTTCTATGTATTTGGGGCAGTTTAGGAGGATATGTTTCACGGTAATTTGACAGTTGCAGATGTTGCACACTGGGAGGTCAGATTCGGAGATTAACTAAGAGTGAGTTAGCTCGGTGCCTCCTATTCCTAGTCTAGTTAGCGTTGTTTGCTACCCTTGGTCGAGATTCGCGGTTAAACTTTTGTTAAAGAACTTTGCCTTAGTTTCCCGTTGCTGGGAATGCCAAATGGAACCGCGTTTTTACCAAAGAACGTCGTTTCTCACGCTCGAACCAATAATGTCCACGTTTCTCGCGGTATTCGTGTTAACCCAAATTCCTCCACGTCCATATTTAAAATATTTCCGGTCTGTTTGCAGGGAAGCTTCTTCGAGGAGAGTCAGAACGGCGTGAAAGAAGCGCGATCGAAGGAATCCAGAACGTAAATAATGCCGAATGAAAGCGTCGACGGGTGAGATTAGGGTTCGACGCGGATTTCTCGCGTTCGAGCGAGTCATTGGCTGGCAGATCTGAAATCGGGTTGCTTAAAAGTATCTAGACCGGAAACTATTCCGCGATTCTCGGTACGGTTGCGCGGACAGGTCAGTCGGAAGAATCTCCCCCTGAATAAAACGTACCTACTATATGTATAATAGTGCACGTGCCTCGAGGAATCGCTGAAAGGATGGTTCGACAAGAATGTCTCGTTCTCTCGACGAATTACCCTCAAGAACGATTTCGTCCTGCCCGGAGAGATTCTGCGGGTACCTTTTTATCCCCGTCTTGTATTTTATTTTTTTGCGAAACGCGTTCCTTGGGCAAATCCCTCGTGCTCCATTCGGCTCGTTATTATTCCCATCGTCGCCGGAAAATCTATTCTACGCTCAAGCCACGATATCGTAGAAGCCTCCATTATCCGCGCTAACCATCGCGTAAATCGTCGGATCTACGTGTCAAATTCCACTAGGAAAAATGCGTACGGTTGGAAATAATAAATATTTCGATGGCCAGGCGTAGCGAGGCTATTTCTGGCCGGTTATAAATTCACCTAAAAATGGAATAAAGATAAGCGTATAGCAAGGAATCGAGCTGTATTATGAAATACCGTGTAATGACGGCCGACATGCGACAGGTGTACGATCGTTGGGAGTGCAGCAACCCCGGGTATAACGAGAACAATGTAAAAAGGAGAGCAGACGGAGGCCACGTAGCGACTGGTACACGGCGACGTCGAGGGTGGCCAGGTAGCTCATCGAAAATTTATGGAAATCGCGATAATGAGGAACACGCGGCTCTATTTGAACAGCGGGGCCTGATATCTGTGCATGTAGGTTCCCTGCTCGCCATTCGACGGCCAACCATCAGCTTATCCCGCTACATAGTCGCGGTCATTCTCGATTCTACCAACGAGCGACGATACAGGCTTTCGGTTGATCTTCCGACCGCGATTTACGGCGCCCCGAAATTACAAAAACACAACAACGGAGGGCCAAGGTTCCAACCTGGCCCGCAATTCCGGAAAACTGCACGCTGATAACGGAAAATTAGTTTATAACGCACGCGGGGATTTTCTCGTCGAAAATCGCAAAACCGTGACTCGCCAGCGAACCGTTTACGGCCAATGCGGGCTCCGAAAAATCCCAAAGCACATTTTCACCGATCTAGCGTGACAACCAGGGCGAGTATTCATATTTAATTCGAACGACGCTGCGTTCTTTCGATCGTGTTCAATTATCTCGAGTCTCTGAACAGAAACGACGGCGTTGGCAACGATTGAATTCCACTCGTTTCTCGTCGAAGCTTTTAAGTTTATTATGTCTAGAATTCCCTGGATTACATTTAATAGATCTTTGAGCGCTGGCATTTTTCCAGTGCCTTGGGAAATCTACAGACCCATCGGTATTCAAAATGTCCATAGTATTCCAAGACATATCTGACAAGTTATCGTTTGTTTGCGGAGACTTAACTTGGAATTTACTGGGAATCTAAAGACTGGTTCTCGAGACATTTGATGCCATTTAGGCCCGTTCGCCTTTAAAATATTCATTAAATATACATCCGTATCGCTTCACTTTTTTCAATAAAATCATCGCAATAATATTCTGTTCCGGAAAAGCAAGGAAAAGATCTCGTTAAACGCATTACGATTTTAATTCTCTCTTCGTTTGTAACGAATAAACGAAATTAAATGAAACGTTAACGAACGAGACCTCCGGCTCCGATCCGCGGTAGGTCAACGTCGATATTCTGCAGAAGACAACCGCGACTCGCTATAGAAATTCGAAACAGCTGACTCCGGTTTTACGCGCACAAACGCAGCATTTATTTGAAAATATGTCACGCGTATGACCTGAAAATCTGTTTCGCTTTCTATTTGGTAACCGTTGCGTTACAATGGCGCCGAGCGTTCTCGTTTCTCAAAGGCCCCGTCGAACTGATCCCCCGAAGCTTATCCGGCGATACTCCGACGAAAAATCTTGCTACACGTAACTCGATAAAACGACAGATTAATCCGTCGACTATCACGCGAACGAAATGTAAATTACGCGGCTTCGCGATACGCGCAACCAACGCTGCTCGACCCTTCATTCGTTATATCGATTTCCCCCTTGCTCGAACGAACAGGTGCTACAGCCTGTTGTACGGATTAGAATGCCGATAAGCGTTTCTTTTCGTGATTTAATAACCTTAAGAGCAACCCCCGACCATCCAACGACCACCTAGAATGACTGTTTCCTAAATAACTCGTCAACCAAAAATTAACAGACATTTCCATGTAAAGTATAGAATAAAAGATATTTATTTTTCAAAGTAATAAGGCAACAGACATACGTTAACGCGCGCATTTTAAAGTATAAATGGCGTTCGAATGCTCTGTTAGAAATTGTCTGCGAGGGAAGATAAGGGAAAATCGGTCGAACGATTGAGAGTCGCGAGGGAAAAGTTCCGAGGAAGGACGTCGAGCCTCCAACTAAAAGCGAGAACAACAACGAGACGAAGTCTGTACTCACAATACGTCTGGTTCATGAGTCGGTCGATGGTATCCTGCTTTAGTTTGCTATTCTTCTTGCCCATGTTTCTCGGGAGGATCCTCTTTCTTCGGTACGATCGACTGCGACACTCTGTCGCTCGTCCCTGGTCGATTCTTTTCTTCGGGTTTCGAGCGGCGAGCCTCACCGTTCGGACCGCATCGTCTTTCCGCGGATTTCGACTACCGAATTACCAACCGCGATCGATTCCGCCCGTTTTAAACGCGTCGTCGAGCCTTTTAAACTTTCACGACGATCGGATTGGCCCCGGAGTGACGCGCGACCGAAACAGACGGACTCGATAACGAACGAACAAATTCGGTTCGCGAGTCCGAGTATCGCGATCCCGCGGGAAACGATTCCCCTCGACTTTTCTTCAAGGTTACGTCGAGATGCAACCTTTCGTCCGGTTACTTCTTCTATGTGTTCCACGATCGAAGCTTCTTCGTGATCGAAACTCCGGTCTCGCTTTGGGAGTCTCTTCTGTGTCGCTTCGTTCGAAGATCTCGGGCATCAGTCCATCCTCGATAGGCGGCTGGAAAAGTTTCGTTTCGACTCCTTGTAAACGGGAATACGATTAGATTTGGCTTCCGCCGCCTCGAACCGTGTCGAGAACCACGAGGGATTCGAGCATCCTTTCAGTTTCGGGGAGAATAGGAACGCTTTCTGCGACTACGGTCACGCGTCTCTTTGTTTCGCGGGGTTTGAGAATTTCTCGAGCTCAATCGTTAACCTGGTAATATTCGAAATTGACTCTTCGAAAGACCTTTCTCGCGTCTAATATATAAAAATGGACGTTGTTCCTAACTAATTTTCAATTCAATTTCGCCACGGTTCAACTTCGGAAAGAAAGTTAGCGCGGATCGTTCGATATAGAGTGTGCCGCGAAGAAGATTGCATAGCACGACGTTGAGCCCTCTATTTCACGATGAACGGGTCTATTAAGGGTCTTAAAGTTGTAACTCGAAACGGACTATGTATACGACAAATTGATAGCATCGAAAGTACCCGCGACACCCTTTTCATGGACTTCAAATTTTCACAGATTTATTAAATGAATTTCCACGGCTGCAGCAGCTGATTACATTTTGACGTAGTCGAACGAAAGCTGGAACGGTCCTTTCAGAGTATTACCGTGCCGCTTATTCGTCTCTCTATGGCCCCTCTATGGAACAAGCGATAAATCTCTTCTTTAAGGTCGTCAAATATTCCGCCGTTACTAACTACATAGCGGGAGCGTGTAATTTTATGTAATTAATTTACGTTATCAGAGTTGCACGAACGCGAAACGCGTCGGGTAAAGCAAACTGCGAACGTCAGAGTATCTGTGAAAACAATCGATTTCTTTTGTCCGCATTTCCTTGAGGAACATGGTTTGAAAAATGCACGTAATCTTTCGCCAGAAAAATATTAAAAATTTACATAGAATATCGCTTCTAAGAATTTCATTTAACGCGTGAATGGTCAGCCGTTTCGCGTCATGGTTGTGAGAAACGATCTCAAAAAAAGGCCAGGGAACGTTTGTCGTTGATAAATGGCCCGTGGAAAGGAAAACGGCAGATCGCGAATGAAAGAATCGAGGCAGAAGCCAATTGTTCTAAACTTTAAACGCGATCGAGGATGAAATTGCAGAGAAAGACCGTCGATGGGTGATTTTGCACGATGTCGAGGGATTAAAAAGTACAATTACATCCTCGTTGTCGTACCGTTCCGCGAATCTCGTCGAAGGAGTACAATTTACCTTTTATCTCGACGTTATACTAATTCGATTTAAGCGATAGACGAGAATTATTCCCTTTGGAATCGTTTTGGAAAACTTCAAAGTTCGTATCGTGGACGATGAAAATTTTGAGAATCGTAGCTATGGAACTATTACCATTTCTCTGTACTAGCTTCGGTTCCCCGCTATTACATTAATCTCTCCGGGAATAATTGCTTGGTTACTCGTTGCATTATTCACGAACGTTTTCCCGAAGGATAACGAGATTCAAAATTGCGTAAGGCGCTATCTATGAACGATTTACATTGTAAAACGAATGTCCATTCCATTTTCGGCCACGAATCCCATAATTGCCGCCCCAACGAACAGCTCAAAAGACGAAACGCAATTACATCGATCACGATTCAACGTGTGTCGACAAAAATTCTCACGTGCCTTAAATCTCTCCTGCACCTTTTCAACTATTAACACGTAATCGACAGTCGTTGAAATTTGTATGAGAACGAAGCGTTAACGATTACCGTGGACGCGTTGGGAATGTTGCGTTCCGTTCTATCGTAACGATTTCGCGTCTAACGAGAGACTCTCGATCTAATCGAGAATTTTGCAACAACGTGCAATAGTATAGTTTAATTAGGTCTGACGTGACGGTACCTTTAAAACAATGCAAACAAAGTTCTAGTACCTTTCGCGGACGATTCGCTCGTTAAAAGCCCGAGCGCGTTGCTCGAAAGTAAACGACGAAAGCAACGACCAAATTGAATTAAATTTTTCCATTATCCGATCGAACAAACCGAAAGTAAACCATCACCGGTTAACGTGCAGGAAACAAATGAAATTTTCTCCTTTGATGGTAGCAATTACTTTCCCGAGTCTGGCATTCCATAAAATAGAACCTTGCGTGTTGCAAATAGAACCGAGTCGATCGAAAGGTCAATTTCTCGAGAGCTTTCGCGCGTAGAGAAAAATAGCCAAGGCTCGAGGAGAATTTTGGCGCCCTTCCGGTACGATGTAACACACATTCCATCGTCGATCGCTCAAGTAATTCGTGGGACCGTTTAATTTCTCGTGAAATAAATTCGACGATGCTGGTCCAATCGAAGTGTTCGGCGGTCATTGTTAAAAAGAAAATGGCATCAATGTCAAGGATAGCGCGTTGTACAAAGTGTTTTTAGAAGAACGAGCTCGAAGTAAACAATTACAGGGTGGGACGTTGATTGTTCGGTACCGTGACTCGAGCGCTATTGAATTATTGGATATTCCGGTCTGTTGGTCGATATTCCCAAAAGTAAGCACCGAGATGTCTGCTCTTGGCGCGTTTGCTAATAATTGTCGCCGAAATACTTGTAACCATGCTGGACGCGCATCGATGCTACCGACGACGACGATAAAGCAGAGGAGACTTGTTCCGACTGTTTAATAACGACTGTTTCCGAGGAATACACGGCGAAGCTACGGCTGTGTCGTTAGGGAGAGTCTGAAGCGACCTACCCTTCCGGAGGATCGTACAGAGTACGCGACGAGAGTGCTCGAGCAAGTGTTTTTTAGACGACGAAACGTAAGGGACAACTAATTGCCTGGAAGCGCGTCAATTTTTCTCGTCCAAAATAGTCGCGGCGGTCCATGTGAAAAGCACGGAATCATCGCCTCCCACGCATTATAACGATTCAACGGTTGCGGCAAAATCACACTGGCGGCACCACGTTTCCCGTCAAACAGCCAACATTTTATTTACCCACGTCGTTCGAACTCTCAAATTCGCGAGAAATTAAATGCTCGACAAAAAAAGGTTAGTACCTGACATCTGTACCGATCCACGATGCATCAAGGAGGATCAAAGAATCTCTATTAAATATTGCCTAAGAAATACAGCAACGTTATGGAATCTTACATGCAATAAATTGAGCAATTTATAAATGATATTTACAAAACGTCGGGAATTTAGTTCCGCCGGAGGGGTGAAATGTTATCCGCAGAACCGGAAATCGTATGGCGCATAGTTGCACGGGAATTACCGTCGCGTTGGAACGCGCGTGATTATTTCTCGCGCGAAGAATCCCTTTAGGCGGGATTCCCCCGGGACGACGGACACCGAATTTCGTCGCGCACTGTCCCGCGAACGCGACGGGGAACGAGCAAAGAATAATCTCGCGCTCCCAACGTTGACGTGTAACTGCTCGACAGAAATCTACGCGACCCTCGGGAGCTAAGAGCTTGATATCCGTTTCGGAAAGAGTCCGACGGGAAATTCGACGAACAACGGAACGTTTGCAGGGGCTTGCTTGTGCAGAACGTGACCTGGCGAGGACCATCCAACATCCCAGAATTCGGTCCACCGCAAACGCGACCGAAAACACGCGTGTCTCGAGCTATTCTGCGCCGTCAGGCTTCCGGTAAACCCGAATCTGAAGAAATATAGCCCAGCGAAGGGATAACGGTCCGCGACCGTACCCGGTCGAGGCCTTGCAGAGATTTTCACGGGGTCCTCCGATCCGCTTCCGTTCCCGTTCCCGTTCCCGTTCCCGTTTTCGTTTTCGCTCTGCGTTTGGCGTTTGTGTCACGCGGATTTCCCTCGCGGTTCGAGATCGAAGCCTCGGCTTCGAAGCGGCGGCTTTTCATTCATGAATCCTCACCGTCGTCAAGAAACGATCGCTAGAAAACGCGAACCAGTGACGTCATAGCGTCGCGGCGCTTGGCGTCGAACTGGCTCGCCGATGGCATTACGTGCCAGTGCGTTGCTACTGATACGCGCAGGCGCCAACCACCGGAGAATTCTCGATCGTTCCTCTTTCTTTCCCCACCGAACCCTAGTGCTATCATTCTCTAGCCCCTTACACCCTTGCCCTCTCGCGGTTTTACCACTCACCTCTGCAACCCTTCTCGAAACCTCCCTCCCACACCTCCTACCCCAGATACGCTCGCGCTCTCTACTTTCGTTCCTCTATCGCGGTATCTGTCACCTTCTCTGCTAACCGGATTCTCGAAATACATCGAGCAAATTGATTTCGATAGTCCGAACGATAATATCTATTGGCAACCATATCATTTCCTTCTTACGCGCGTCGGCTGTTTCGATCCTTCACCTGCTCTCCTACTCCCATGAGATTCTTTTTCCAAGCCACGGATGCGAAACGTTGCTGCCCGCCGAAACGATTTAACGCGATGATCTCTGAGAACTCTGTTACAAACCTGTTTCGATCGGGGTTATTCGATTAATATTCAAATTGAAATAGATTATTTTTCAAAGGACTCAGAGAATTAATTTTAGAACAAGGCTAGGCCACCGGGCATCCGCTAACTTTAGAACGATATCCTAATCGACGACGAAACAATTTGTCTTATCGACAAAGCGACGATCGTTTTAAGTACAAATCTCGGACGAAAGGTTAACTTCGAGCTTAATCCAAGGATTTCTAAGCCCAAGATTTATCAGATTTTAATTAGGTGTCCTTTCAGCGTCTATCTATAGCAGGAAGGTTCCAGCGCCATTAGATTATTCTTAAAATATTCTCCATCGTATAGAGCACGAAATTAAAAAAATTTTAATCGTTTAGAAATTACAGGTCTCCAGCGTTCGCGTTATAATCCGGGAACCAATTACGAAGAATATTGCACGCTATTCGATAGACGATGCGGTTAGGAATGTCGGTGCCAAATTTCATCAAAATTGCATTAACGGTATTTTAGTTATCCAGCACGCTAGCGCAACGAACGTAATTTCGAAAAATACGGTTCTAGAGTTTGGACGTGCGTACGGAACTCTTCCATGCAAACTTTTCTCTGCCATAATTTAATTCTAAAACCTCTAAAAAATTCATTAACGTCAAGGGGACATATATTTTTCCACGAAACTGCTCCTACGACGAATAAAATATTTTTCTAAAGCGTTCCCCTTCTTGTTACTCGTAATTATCCTCATTTTCCTTGTCGCTCGTCTCACCGTGCCATTATAGGTTAGGCTTAATAGCTACCGTCGTATCTCGCGTGGTTTTTTATCGAATTCACCGGCTTTTAAGACCTCCTTGATCCCTCAGCGTCGAAGCCTTCTCCCCGTTTCCGGTTTCTCCCTCCGTAAACGCGCCCGTCGATCTCTTCCCGGGGCTTTCCATTCCAGTTTTGCATTTTCTCGAGGCGCACGATGCTCCCCGGTACTGCTGCTTTACATTTTTCCATGTTTACTCTTATTCCCGCTAAGTCACATCCGGGGGGATAACAAACGCGCCAGGCATCCCTCTTCGCGTCGGCCCTATTTTTCTTACCGCGGCCGCGCGAACCTATGTACGTCTTCCGGTTTTTGTCGGGACGAGCGCAGGGTAATATCACGAACTCCCCCAGCGACGGAAACAAAAAGCGTCGTTTAAATTAATAGAGGCGATCGAGACGAGAAGTAATCCCCACCCCCCGGCGTGAGAAATTGTCTAGCGTCTGGAGTTTTTCACCGGCGAACGTTTCCGTTCCTGCCCCCGCTACCTCGCTCGGCCGTGATCGAGTTATTGTTTTTCTATCGAGCACTCTCGATCGAGCCCAAAGTTAATTTCGCGATGGAATATTCCCGCGGAGGAAAGGGCGTCCGTAAAATCCCGACGTTCGAATCGTAGCTTGGATCATCGATTCCCCTTTTCCCTGGCTACCGTTAATAGTCGTTAATATTTATAGTCACGCGTCGTGACGATTCCCGCGACTTCCCGATGCTCGATAAATCAACGCGCGAAACCTTTCCTCCATCATCTCTTGTTTACACGCGAGCGCCAGCCACGACTTTCTTCTCTGCGACGGATCATAATTCTCGGTTCGCAAATAACGTTAGTGGCTGGTGCTTTCGCGAAAGTTCACCCTCTGGCATTGTTAGTGACCCTCCATTATCAAATGAAACGGAACGGAACTCCAAACGAACCGGTATCTTTCTTGTTTATCGCGGCGATCGAATCGTCCTCGCCGCCATTGCCTCGACCGTTTCTCCTATTATCGCTGACCCGTCCATCGACGTTCTTTTCGCTCCTCGAGTCGGCGAATATGGACGGGAATATTTGATAAGGAACATTGGACGCTAATGACGGCCATCCCCCAAATGAGGAACGCAGCGTTATTTGTACCGAAATTTCGGTCAAGATCGCGTCCGTTTCAGTCTTCGGTTTTGATTTACGGGCCATCCCCGTCGGTCTATAAATACAGCGTGTCCAGCGACATCAAACGAATGATTTATTCGACCTGCGCACTCCCACGGAAGCCACTCTTTCGACCAACTTGCTTTTTCACGTACCTCGGCCAATGGATTTTCCCTGTTCGGTTTTGGAATTCTAATGCGAGCGAATTTGTTCGCGTTAAAGCTGAAACGATCGTTTCGTCGCGATCGGAAAACCACCGACAACCTGCATTCGAAACGATCCTGGATGTTCGATTATCTCAGAAATGTTTACTTCTTTGCTTAAAATAGATTCGCTATTATAATTATTTAAGGGGTAATCTGGTAAATCGAATCTTTGCAAAACGAACACTCGAATGATCTTAATGCCACGTAAAAATCAATAGCGCGAAGTAGGGGAGGACTATTAATTAGGCGTAGTTGTAACCGAGTCAGCGAAAGGCCAGTAGAATAGATCAATATTACGTCAGACGCGATTCTCTTCGCGTTGACTCTCCTGAAACGACCTCGGTGTGTAGGCTGTTTTTCTATTTAAATATCTTTTTGCAACTGGCATGCAGACTCTCGAAATAAATTTAATTTTACTGGAGGGGTTGCAGAGCCCTTCCTGCAAAAATCTCAGCTTTCTTGTTCGTCGTTTCCCCGCGTACGCGTGTTTATTTTCCCCCCCGGAGCGTCGGTGCGTCGAGAGGATATCGAACATGTGCGACGATATGAAAACGAACGTTGCTCGGGCAACTGTAATCGACGATAACGGAAAACGTGCGAGCGTCCACATGTCCCCGATGCGTTTCGCGGTATCAGATAATTACACGTTGTCTTAACGTCCGTTCGTTTCAATCCTAGTGATTATTAACGACGCTTATTACACTCCCTCGAATTGCAGGTACGATTCCAGGAAATCGCCGCGCTTGGCTCGTTCACACGTGACTCACGCGTCGTGCGTTTCCCGCAACACGTGCGAGCCCTCGTGCCTAACAAAATGTCGCCCAAAAACCCATCCAAACCTGCTCGAATAAAACCAATGCAATTCCTTTACTTACGAGGTAACGAAAATAAGGTATTTTCTTCTCTCTGGCGTTCGAAAATGGCAGACTACTTTTCCCGTGCCGTAAGTACCGGGACGTTTGGAGTCAAAGGGTTAAGATCACAGGATTACTCGGGGAAGCAGTGACTGGCGGGGATGAAACGGATTCCGGCGGCCGTCGCGGGAACGATTTGATTTAGTTCCTGCTCCTTTATCGGCGCTTCACCGGAGGGCAACAGGGTTATCTTCCGAGTAATAAGAAAAGTGCTTGACGCCGTATAACCGCGCGGAAAAGACGGAAACAAGGTCAGAAGGGGGAGCAAACGGAGAAGCGGAGTCAGCTGTCTGGCAATGGCCCCGATAGACGACCGACAACTTTCCCTCGAAAACAGCCTCCCCCTAATACGGAACCAATAAAAGTCCTCGGACGACCGAACAACCCTTAGATTAGAAACTACTTAACTCCTGGCTCGACAGTTTTCGTTAGGAACCCCAAGCATGTCCAAGAAGGGGAAGGACCAAGGTCCAACGTTTCTCAAATCGTTGTTAAACGCAATCAACGCGATCATTAGCGAATAATAAAAACAATTGTTGAAACAAGGGCTTTAACTTTGTTACGTTTGGGGTTCCTGCCATTGACGAACGACGCGAATAAATAAATGCGTTCGTAAGAAATTGGACGTTGGATGTTTCGGTGAAAATGTTGACAATGTCCGAGGGAGGATCGGTTGAAACGAAACACCGTGGATAGCAGGGGAATAGAGCACGCGTGCTGGTCGTTGGAATTTGCATTAAAAGGCGGGCGTCGCGACGGCAGGGAGGAATCGGGCTCGTAAAGAGCGACGCCAGGCTCGATCCGGTGGCGTGGTAAATTGTCCGGCCGCAGCGTCCGTTAACTTTTAACGACGAACCGCGTGGTAGGTTACACTGTTCCTGGTCGGCGACCGCGTTCATTGGCAAGCAAATTACTCGCGTAGAAACACAGGGACGTGCCGTCGTTTACAGACTCCTCGAAGAAACTTTCGTCTTTCGTCGACGCGTTCAAGTTTGCGTCCCGTTCCTCCAAACGCGTTCTTCCCGAGTACGGATGAAGGGTTCTCGAAACGTTCTGTACACGACTTATGCTCCGCGACTAACATCCACCTCTAGCAAGTTTCCAACTACCCGACGAAACCGTTGCATTCACCAATTATAACAATAGCAACAATAACCGACGGCGTAATTAGAATTTTGCAAAATGCTTGACAAAAGCTTTCTTAATGGGTTTCTTAATGGTTCTTTCAAGTTATTGGAAACTATAACCGTTGATACAATCGACTCCATATTTGTGGTAGAACTGCAGATGGGGACCAAATGTAACAGGGAGAATAAAAGGAAATAAAAAAGATGGCATAATAAAGAGTTATCTTTGCTAGATTTCGTAATAAATACGGTCACTGCGCGCCTGAAGGAGTAGAGGATGTTGATAAGGAGTGAATCATGGGGGACGGTGAGTTATAGCAATGTGGGGAACAGG